AAAAAAAGAGAGAGAGAGAGAGACTATCTTTCAAAGTAGTAAAGAAGAAATGGAATGAGTGTGGCTGATTGGCAGAAGAGCTCTTACACACTCTGGTTAGGAAGGTGAATGCCTTAACAGACTGCGGCAATCTGCAGCCATCAGTCAAATACTTTTGGGGCTGTTTATAAATGTAAATATCCAATGTAAATATCATTGGTTTTTTGTTTGTTTGTTTGTTTGTTAAGATATTTTATTTATCCATTTGAGTGTGAGAGAGCACGAGAGGGGAGAAGGTCAGAGGGAGAACCAGACTCCCCATGGCGTTGGGAGCCTGATGCAGGACTTTATCCTGAGACTCCGGGATCATGACCTGAGCTGAAGGCAGTCGCTTAACCAACTGAGCCACACAGGCGCCCAAATATCACTGTTTTGAGAAATGCATAAGTCATGTTTGCTGGCAGAAATCCAGTTCTGTCACAAATATTTAAATATTCCATGGGTTTTCTTCTTCCAAAGAAAAGAAAGCAGAACTAAAAGAACTACAAGAACTAAAAGAACTAAAAGTCATTGCCCAGAATGACTGAGGGGTTTACTTAACACCTACGATACATGTTACACATACATACATGTTACACAGATCTTGGCATTTCAATCACTGTCTTTCGAAATGACGCTTAGACTAGCATGCAAAACTCCTCTTCCGCTAAGTGTTGAGAGAGTTTGGGCTTGGAGTGAGAATGGCTGCTGGAATCAATTAGGCAAAATACTTAAACTCCATAGGCAAAGGTTCCTCATCTACAGAATAAAGATAATAGTGCATATGTTTATTTAATCATTCAACACATATTACCAAGAATATTTTAAGTGTAAGGCGGTGGAGACATAAAGATCCATGAATATATAAACATAAACACACATACAGACTTTAGGAAAAACAAAGCATAGTGCTGATAGTCAGATCCTCACATTCCAAGCTGAAGAGTTGAATCTGCTCTGGTGAAAATGACCAGACCATGAAGAAAGACCTGAAGATACTGACATCAGAGATTACCCAACTAAGTGGTCCAACTAGATCATCACACCGAGCATCTCAGTGTGACAAGCTCTATGTACAACCTCAGAGATAACAATCATTGTGCTAGCTTCCTCTCTTAAATCTGAGGAAACAAACATTACGATCCCCTGAGGAAAGTCTCTATCATGAAATATATAGACAAAACCAAAGAGAAACAAATCAACGTAGAGGAAAAGATACCATGCAGGGAGAATTTTTAAATGATCATTGATATTTTCAAAGGTTAGAGAAGGTATGTCAACCAAGATGATTATATATGTGTATGCACATATGTCTTACAAACACACACAAATCTGTATCTTTATGAAAAAACATCCAAAAAACAAATGAGAAGTCTAACAGGTTAGAAGATAAAGGCAATGGAATTACCTAAAGAGCAAAAAGAGCAGGAGATGGAAAATAAAGGGCAAGACAGTTGGAGGACTAGACTAGACTAGACTAGACTAGAATTCCAATACAGGAATGACAGATGGTCCCAAGGTCCCAAAAGATAGAAAAGAGAAAATGGGGAAAGGAAATCAATGGAACAACTCAAGAAAATAGATGGAGTTTCCATGTTGAAAGCACTCGTGAGATACACGCCAAGCTGCATGAAAAAGCAAACCCAGACCAGGGCACCCTATTTAAGAAGTTGAAAACTTCTTAATGGAGTTTTCACCAGAGCTCAAACTGATGATCCTAGATGTTTCCAGAGTTTCCTAAGATTTAAAACAGGTCACATAAAAAAATCAAGAATGAGAATGCTTTTCTACCACTTAGGAAATCCTGCAAGCTAGAAAGCAATACAACAAACCCTTCCAAATTCTGAAGGGAAATAATTTCTAATCTCTACCAAAACCATCATTAAAGCATGAGGGTAAATTAAAGAACAACTGAAGACGTTCAAAATATTTTACCTCCTGTTTACCCTTCCTAGGAAGTTGCTCCTGGAGATGCTGCACCAAAATGAAAGCCAATGAAATGAGAGTCTAAGAGGAAGACAAACGGGATTTGGGAAACAGAGAAGAGATGAAGACTTCCCAAGATAATAATGAAATGAGGCTTGGGATGAGGTCTCTGTGAAGGGCACCATTCAGAGGCTCTGGGAGCGGGGAATAATTTGGTACCAAGAGAAAATTAAGAGACAGACACATCTGAAGAATCTGAAAGAAGAAGTAGGAGACTGGTGAGCAGATTGGGGGCTGAATCAATGCGATGTTCAGACAAAAACAAGGAACAACGTTACGTAATTGTTTGCTCCAGGGAAAGCAGGAAATTGCACAGGAAAGAAAACGTTTACTATACAGCTTGGATTTTAAACACATTTTCTAGTCATTATAATATAAGCACCAAATATTCAGTGAATCAAAATCATGTTAGAAGTCAAGGTAAAAGGTATAAAACTGTGAGCTGGGGATAGAAGAGGAAAGAGCTGAATTTTTTTTCCAGATTGGGATAGTGAGACATAATGCCTAAAACTGAACAATCAAGAAATATCAATACGATCCTGTTATTTAGAAAAATGATGGCTAAACACCCGAATAATCAGCTACAAAAGATGCAACTGGTGGCCTCTGGAAGAAGGCAAATGAGGGTAGGCCTTTTCGGTAATATGTGTGGGAACTTGCTGACTGAGGGGTCCCCACCCTGACACACACTGGAATTGCAATGACACCCAAGACCCACCTCAGCTCAAGCGACGCAGGACCACATGAGCTGGGGCCCAAGGATAGATAGTTTTGAGAAGGACCCGAATGTTTCTGATACATGGAAAGAGTTGAGAACTACAGCTTTAAACTACATGCATGACTTACTCCCATAAAAATAAAGAATATTTAAATGAAGAGATATACATGAAATGTTGGTACTTATATAAAGAAACATTAGCAAACATGTTCAGGAAACACAGCAAAACTGGCACTCAAGAAATAATACATCAGTCACAGAGTTCTTTCTCATTAGAAATGTGCAAAACGGTAATTTAAGACTTTTCACACATGCTCTGCGGGGGAGAAGTATATATCCGACAGCTTCATGTGTCAACACAGAGAATGCATACTTGATTTAGAGGTACTGAACAGTACTAATTTTTAAGAAGACCAAATTTGTCTGTGCCGTGCTCTACTTTGCCTGGTGCATAAATAAGTCTGTTCTGGACGATTTAATTTTTGAAAGGAGTGATACTCCACGTGCCATCAAAAGCAAACAGAAGAACCTTCTATTAATGCACCGTTATCCTCGGTGTCAGAATATTGAAATTTTGAGTTAAATCATGATATACTTTTAAGATAAATACATTTCCAATGATGCACAATGGTGTTTTTAAAAATCAGCATTCAGTACTCATTCTCTATCCAAACAGCACTTTGGAAAATAGCAGGGACGTACAATGAATGGTATTCTTGAGCCTATAAAAGGTGGTATCAAATATTATCCAATCAAGCTGACAGAAATTAATAGATGGCTAAAATACTCTAAATGCATGCTAGATCGTATTCAGTAGTACACTTGACCTGGTATAGCAAGCTATTTTTTCACACCACTAAACTGCAGCAAATGATTCCTTTTCATCGATGAGGACATTGAATGCTTCTTCTGAATTCTGTGAAGACATAAAATGCTTGGACTCTTCTGAGTTTACAGGTTCAAATAAGTTAGCCAATAAAGCTTTTCTTTCCTTCAGCGGCTTCCTACCCTCTCAAAAAGATTAAAAGCAACAACACACACATGATTTACTAAAGTATACAGCTAATTTTCCTAAAATTAAAAGTTGTAATGTCAAACTTGACAGAACAGGTAGCAGGATATATGTGAAAAATTTACAGTGGGTTGGATGCTCTGGAAATTCAGATACTAGGGCGCCTGGGTGGCTCAGTGGGTTAAGCCGCTGCCTTCGGCTCAGGTCATGATCTCAGGGTCCTGGGATCGAGTCCCGCATCGGGCTCTCTGCTCAACAGGGAGCCTGCTTCCCTTCCTCTCTCTCTGCCTGCCTCTCTGCCTGCTTGTGATCTCTGTCTGTCAAATAAATAAATAAAATCTTAAAAAAAAAAAAAAAAAAGAAAGAAATTCAGATACTACCTCTAAAACATAAAAATTGGATGGTAAACATATGCTTGGGATCATCTCTTGGCTAGTAGACATGTATTTCCATTGTTCTCCTGAAATAAGTCTACTAATATTTGCTTCTCCATCTAATTATATGAACACCCACAACAGAAATAGTTTTAATTGGCAGATCCGTGTTCCTAGCATATTTTTGAACATATTGCCAACTAATGAAATATTCCAAACACATACAAAGATTCTGTTTTCATTTTCCCATAAATTACTGTAGTTTGAATTCTAACTGCACTACGGGCAGTTTTTACACAGTCATTGAAAAACCACTGCTTCAATAGCAAAATATAAAACAAAGGCTTTTCGCTTTAAATCCCTGTTATTTATTTCAGCCTTCAGGGCCATCTTTTCTTACTTACTGTCACAAATTTAAAAAACAAATTAAGAGCATCTAAAACCATTTATGTTGATATTCAGACTGTAACAGTGTAAAATGGGATAGAAATTCCATGTAAACTCCAACAGCTCGGCGTATAAAAGGGGAAAAGTTTGAAAACTAGAAAATAAAATTTGCCCGTATCCTCCTACCTCTACAGAAGTAAGTTACTCTGGGTTATATAACAAAAATAAACCTCCCACCAGAGATCTTGGAAATCTTGAATTTTTTTTTCCTGCAGGAGAATTTATTATTTTCCACTGAGTGTCCATTCATGCGTTTTCTTCTTGTCTCTATTCATAGCACCAGATCCTGACTAGCATGCACAACCTCAAAAGAAAAGAAACACTAAATACAAACTGTGTAAAACGTTTGAAGAATAAAGCAAAATAAAAAGGCTGGGGTTAAGACTGCTTACCTTGGGATAGCGCCATAATGTCTAACACATACAGTGGTGCACGTAGAACTCACCTTGTATGCGACGCTGTTGGACGAATCCACAATAATAAACAGGGGCTTCCTCGTGAAAGGGTAGAGGTCTCCGGGATGAAGGCTAGGGAAACAACAACGGTAACAATGATTAACTGTGCAGCTGTACCAGCCAAGTCTCAGAAATCTTACTCCTCGGTTTGGTCTGCTCCCATCTCTTTTTCAACACAGCTTGGAGCAAGAAACAAAGATTAATTTGGCAAAAGACGAAACATGCCTATATCGACTGGAAGAGACAAGTTAGCAGTTTTAGATGGAAAAATATTCAGAGAGAACAATTATTCAGGAACATTCAAGCTAAAGAGAAGTCTACAGATTTAATGATGGACTAAACATAAAACAGGAAAACCTCACAAGTCAGCATGTAGGTGCTTGTTTAAAATAAGTTCCTTCTGGGGCACCTGGGTGGCTCAGTGGGTTAAAGCCTCTGCCTTCAGCTCAGGTCATGATCTCAGAGTCCTGGGATCGAGCCCTGCATCGGGCTCTCTGCTCAGCAGGGAGCCTGCTTCCCCCTTTCTCTCTGCCTGCCTCTCTGCCTACTTGTGATCTCTCTCTCTGTAAAATAAATAAATAAAATTAAAAAGAAAAACTCCTTCTAAGAAAATGTTCTGAAAACATAATGTGCTAACACAACCAGATTTGTACTGCAGTGAGTCTTTTAAAAATCTTCATTTATTTTAAAGATTCTTAATACATCATGCTACAATTTAATATTACATATACTAAGTAGAGGCTCCCCTTTTACTATCCATTATGATTCCTCTGGATATTTGCATCAGGATCAGCTGGGGTGCTTGTTAAACATACAGATTCACTGGCCCACAGAAGACCCACTGTCCCCAAGGTCTGAAGTCCAATAACAAACATTTGAGAACCGCTACTAAACAAGGTCACAATTTTGGTGTGTATCCTCTCTTTCTCATGGCCTACCAGACAACGTATGTATAAAATCTTAATATAATGTAAATATAAATAAAATGATGTGTCAATGAGCAACATCATCAAACCTTAATGGGTTTCGAATATGAGTTTTTCAAATATAAATCATTTATGACCAAGGTCAATGACAGCACCAATGTATGACTTGGAGGACTGTTAGATATTATAAACATAATTTGAAACACCTCCCTTCCTGCCCTCCTTCCCTCATTCTTTAATATGAACAGTTAACATTTTTCTGTAAAGTGCTATTCGAAATGCAGTTTCATACAAGTCCAGTCTCCTTTATAACCAGACGGCTATCCCTCAGCTGGAGAGAGTCTAGAGCCAATAATGGCCCAAGCAATGAATGTGCTGTATTTAGAAAAACAGCAAACTTTCATGGTGAAATTTACTTGAAATGATACAACTAAGTTCATTTATACTATATCAAACCAAAAGAACCGTATTTTAAAAAGCTTGTATTGGGGGCGCCTCGGTGGCTCAGTTGGTTAAGGGTCTGCCTTCAGCTCAGGTCATGATCCTGGAATCTTGGGATGGAGTCCCGAAACGGATTCCCTGCTCAGCTGGGAGTCTGCATCTCCCTCTTCCTCGACCCCTCCCCCACTCAAGTTCTCTCTGGCTCACTCTCTCTCTAATAAACTTAAAAAAAAAAAAAAAAGCCTGTATTAATGTTAACATGTATCATGTTCTGACATACTATTTATGTACATACTATTTATGTATACATGTACAGTTTCTTCCAACTTGAATGTAATTCTACTGACAAATCCCCAATGATTGAACAGGACCTGAAATATAATACTCAATGAAAATTTTAAAAATGAATGTCAGCCAAAAATTCTAATTTCCTAGGACACTCAGAGCCTGAAATATTGCTAGAACCCAAGTAAGTGTTCTTAATAGTAGCCTGAGGGAGTATTTCCAGTACTAGAAAAAACTCCCCAATTTACTTAGTATTTTCTAAGACAGAACTATAATTTTTATAACAGGGAGAGACACCAGAATACATACCAGTGCATTTCCTTGTGGGACTGATTTCGTTTGTGGATGGCATCTCCATTTATAATATCTCGGTTACTATTAGTAAGTACCCCTCCAAAATCATAAGGACCTATAAAAACAAAGGGAAGAATCCTAGACTTCAGTTGGAGAATGATACTGATCTGACGCTCATATGAATCTCTTACTGATACAAATGGAAGACAATTACAAAACATTTTAACCACTTTGAAATTTAACATTCTAGTTTAATGCAGTATTTAAATGATTTCAGCATGTTGCCTGTTTCAACATTTTAAAAAGTCATTTAATTATTCATCAGTTCTTCAAACAGAATAAAATGAGAAACAAGACAAGAATCTACTGTACCCCATTTTTCTGGGTAGTAAAAGGGATGGAGATCTGGGATGTTCAATATGATCTTTATATTTCAAGCAAAATTATATCTCAAATTCAATCAAATTATCTAAGAAAGAAAGTTGCAGAATTAAGTCCTAATAATTTCTTAAATGTAATTCTAAGTGAGCCACTAATTATAAAATTTAGGGAAAATTTTGAGGGGGACTTGAAAATTCTCATTGCAAAAACTTCATTTTTAGAAAAGAAATGCCAAATTTCAGTGTGTGAAAAACATCTGTTATTGTCTCTATTATGTTAGCACTGTACTTTTGGTTTTGAAGTCAGCCTTTTCTACTGGTCACACTGCTTAGCTGAACGCTTATCTAAATGAACTGTAACTGTGGGATGTTAGGAATCATCTCTCTCAAAGGGCCATTTAGTTAGTACCTGTTATACTTTGAAAAAGTTAAATAAGATCAGTATGTCAAAATGGGGGCATAGATTCAACAATACATGTTTAAAAACAAAGAAATAATTATTTACAAATAAAATTACTAACTTGATTACCAAAAAATTTAAAGCAATTTATGATCGTGTCACTTTTAACACTGTTACATTTTATTGCTTAAGAATCACTGCAATGAAAAGACTCAGATTCATTTTGCTTCTTTTTCATTTTACACTTTAAGAGGACCTATAAGTCATGCAAGGAAGATGGCAGGGACATGCATTGTATAAAGGAATGCAAATTTCAACAAACAGATGAAGAGGAAAATGTTAATAATGTTAAGAAAAAAAAAATTTTTTTTGTCCAAAGACTTAATTTCCTAATTTACATCCATGTTACTCATCTATTCTGATCAATTTCTTATATTCTGGACTCATATATTCTGGATAGTTTTAAGTTTTGATTCTGAAACAGCATCCCAATATTCTTCAGGTTGAATCCATAAAAACCAAAAAAAGGACAGAAACAAAATCATGACAAGGACTTGAACTTTCACAGTTACAAGAGTGCATTAATTTCTACCAAGACTTTTAGCCACAATGAAGCCGCTAACCAGATTTCCCTTTGCCCTAAAGGCCCAGAAAAACTCAGTGATGTGAAGCAGAACAGGAGGCTTGGTTATTCCATATATATTTAAATATATATGTGCCTTTGGCAAACTTGATAGTGAGGCATGCATTTAGTATTCGAATTTGCTGGTGATCTGTGGACTTCAAAGTATAATATTGCAACTTAAATAAAGCAGATAGGGGTATCTACAAGACTGCCAATTCATCAAAAGGACCAGGTTTCAAATATGGAAGCCTCTCTGGAAAGCTTGGGATGGTCTGTGGGCTACGGGCCATCGTCTTGTAGAAAATAAAGAGAATTCAAGCCCTGCTCACAACAGGGAGCATTCCTTTATTGTACCTTCACTATCAGCACGACCTGTGGGGAAGACGCCAGTGGCTGACAGGTAAATCAGAAGCACACTATTGGCGGGCAGTTCCTGCAATTAAAGAAAATCACATACACCAAACAACAAACGGTTTCATTGAACATCCTGACATTTTCAAGTTAAAGGGACAATAAGAACCTAGTTCAACGTAATGCCATCTTCTCCAGGAGTTCAAGCACTCTTGCAGGTTCCAACTCATAACTGCTCAGGCAACAAAGAATCATTACAAATCAATAATCTATTACTATTGCCCAAAGTTTTGAATTCATTCTCTGCTTCGAAAACCTTGTCATTTAGAGAATGGTCTCTGCAAACCTTGAAATGGAGAAGTAAGGATCCCGGCCATAGGTCTAAAAGACCAACTCCTGCCCATGGCTTTCTCTGCATAAGCGCTGGCAGGAATCCCCTACTTCTCACAGTTCTTTCAGACCTTCAGATGGCCACAGTGCTCCCCAGAGCTCCCTGAGCACACAACATGCCTGTGCAATCTGACCATTATGCCCAAAGTACTTTAGTAATAAAACCTGGAGAAAGGAGAATGATGATTAGTCCGTATTCTCGTTAATTAACGGTAAGGAAGAGTCATAACATGATAAGCAATTTCTGTTCCAAATAGATGTGATCAGATATTCTGAAGCAGTTTTCAATTTCATATTTCATCAAAATTCTTGACTCAAAGATTCAAAGAAAAGAGTGACTCTCAGATTTTACTCAGGGCACACTTTTCTCATATAGTAAAGAGTATTGGATCATATATACCTTAAAAGATGCTGCTAAGAATGTGTATAGTTGACTGAAGGTTGGTTTGTAGAGCAGATACTTGTGGGGGTTTTCTCGTCTGGTAGGCTTATCAGCCGATTCCTATATTTACACACAGAAAACAAGACACATACGAGCTGTATTTGACTGATGAATTATCAATGCCTTTTTTTATGATCCTCTTCATCAAATAGCTTTTTTTTTTTACTCCATGTTACTATTATTGTACTTATCTCTCCTGTATCTCAAGAGAATTCTCTATTTACATGCATAGCATTTGTTGAGTAACAGCATTCCCTGAGGAGCAGAGGCAGAAACAGTGTTACTGAAATTGCAAATGTAGAGAGAAGATCACCTGCATTCCTGGTTTATTCATCTGGGAGGCTAAGTTCATTGGCTCCCTTTCCAGGGCTTGTAACATCCGGAACATGTCCACAGTTAGTTCACTAAACTTAACCTGCAAGGAAAACAAACCTGACCATGAATGCAACACAGACCCAGAAGCCTCTGACCATCATAGTACCTCTGACATTCATGCGTACTTGATGACATTGGATAATTTTATTCCCCAGTGTTTTATTATAAAACATTTCCAAAGACAGAAAACTAAAAGAATTGTACAGTAATACCCAGAGCGCATCACCTAGATCCTATACCATTAACATTTTCTTTATTTATGTTACCACGTATCTCTCCATTTATTTATATTTCTGTCAATCCATCAACTTCCTCAGGTATTTTCAGAAACATGAAAAGCAGTCATCTAAACAAAAAGACCTACATTAGGTCCTTCAAAACATGCTAACTTTTGGCAAAACAGCCTGCTAGAAAATGGCTATGGCCATATTTCAAAACCTCATCAATACATTTTGGCTCTATATGATGTTTAAGGGTGCAGCCATCTCAGTTTTGAATAAAACGTCTATAGAACTTCAGGGAGGCAATGTGTTGTTTTAAAAAAAACATTTTTTTTTTTTTTTAAATCATGCTAAGTGTACTCTTTAATCCCCATCACCTATATCACCCATCCTCCTACCTGTCTCTCCTCAGGTAACCATCAGTTTTTCTCTACAGTTAAGAGTCTGTTTCTTGGTTTGTCTCTCTTTTCCCTCTGCTCATTTGTTTTGTTACTTAAATTCTACATATAAGTGAAATCCTATGGTATTTGTCCTTCTCTGACCTACTTTGCTTAGCATTATACTCTCTAGCTCTACCCATGTTGTTGCAAATGGCAAGATTTCACGGCTTTTTAAGGCTGAATAATATTCCATTATACAGATATACACAGAGAGAGAGAGACAGAGAACCTCTTCTTTATCCATTCATCTATCAGTGCACACTTGGGCTGCTTCCACAGTTTGGCTAGAAATAATCCTACAGCAAACATAGGGGTGCATGTATCCCTTTGAATATGTGTTTTTTTATTTTTGAGGTAAATACCCAGTACTGCAATTACTAGATCATAGGGTAGTTCTGTATTTTTAACTTTTTGAGGAACCTCCACACTGTTTTCCACAGTGGCTGCACCAGTTTGCATTCCCACCAACAGTGCAAGAGGGTTCCTTTTTCTCTACATCCTTGCCAACATTTGTTGATTCTTGAGTTTTTTTAATTTAGCCATTCTGACTGATGTGAAGGGAGGAATATCTCATTTTGGTTTTGATTTACATTTCCTTGATGATGAGTGATGTTGAGCATCTTTTCATGTGTCTGTTGGCCATCTGGTTGTCTCTACTGGAGACACTGTTAATGTCTTCTGACCATAAGCAAGCAATTTTTTAATTTAAATTAAATTTGCAAATTAATTGCTCTTTTAAAAAAGATTTTATTTATTTATTTGTCACAGAGAGCACAAGCAGAGGGAGCAGGAGGCAGAGCAGGCAGAGGGAAAAGCAGACTCCCTGCTGAGCAGGGAACCCAATACGGGACTGGATCCTAGGACCCCGGGATCATGACTTGAGCTGAAGGGGGCCGCTTAACCAACTGAGCCACCCAAGCATCCTGCAAATTAATAGCTTTTAAAGTCAAAATTGGAGAAATACTAGAAAAAGTTACCAATAACAAAAATGAAAGGTGTGCGGGAAGGATCCAATATTTAAACTTGTGTAAATAATGCATACAAAAAAATGTATTCACTGGACACATTTCTGATATTCCATAATTTCCAGTAAATTTACATTTCTAGTACATTAAATCCTTACCATCGTGGAACTATTCTATCATGAAAAAATATTTTATATTGGCTGTGATGAATATACTTAAAAATAATTCTTCCTCCCTTTGTCTGACTGTAAAAGTAATATGCGGATTTAGAAAGTTATAAAGAAGAAAATAGGGGTGCCTGGGAGGCTCAGTTGGTTAAACGTCTGACTCTTGGTTTCAGGTCACGTTGTGATTTCAGGGTCGTGGGCTTGAGCCCTGCGTGGGGGCTCCACACTCAGTGGGGAGTCCGCTGCAGATTCTCTCTCTCCTCTCCCTCTGCCCTTCCTGCTTGCTCACACATACTCTCTCTCAAAATAAATGAATAAATCTTTAAAAAAATTTTAAATAAAGTTAAGCTTTAAAACAGCAGAAAATAAATCACCTATCATTCTGTTACCCAGAGATAAACCCTTTAGGAGTGGTAAATTTCCTCCTAGTCTTTTTGCCTGTACATATATGCATACAGACATTTTAACATATGTGAAATAATTCTGTTTACACAGCTCTATTCCAAGTTTATTTTCACTTACCATACCATGAGTGTGTCTACCTCTGCAATGAAAAATCCTAAACCTATAAATGTCTGTAATACCGTCCATACGGACATGGCATAATTGAATTAACCATTTCCTCACAAATGGATTTAGGATATTTATAAGGAAAGTCATTGTGTAATAAAAATCTATAATTCTTTAATAATAGGAAAGCATTATTTTTCTAAGTGAATTTTTAGTATAATTCCTTCACCATACTTTACCTGGTTATTGCAATTACCAATAATGAGTGCGTCAGCCAGAGACAACTGTCCCACAATCATGCCCTGTTCCAGCAACGGGGCTCCTGTTTCAGCGAGGCGATTAGATGTGATAACAATGGTATTGTCATCATTCAGTACCATCACTGGGTCCGCCTGGAGAAAAAAAGCAGTAAGTAGTTGATAGACAAGACACAATGTCAGTATATATTGTGTGATATATACACACAGTAAAAATGCCTATTATCCGTGATTACACAATCATCCTTGTCAAAAGCTGACCTCAATGAAAGCTGCTACTTCTTGAAGCACCAGGTTCCACTCCACTTGATCTTCTGTATTAAAGCGGTGAGTATAGTCTTCAATTTCATCTGACAATTCCTAATTTTAAAATATCACAAAGAAAAATGATTATAGGAAAAATACACATAAAAATAGGTTGCTATATTATACCATATTCTTTACAGAAATTGATATAGTTAAGAAGCTTGATTATTATCAACATATAGTCCCATTTATAGCCAAATAGTCCCAATATAATAGTACCAATTATAGCCAAAAACAAAGAAAACTGCTTTATTTTGCTTTAAGACTCCAGAATAATACACACCAGTAAGATCTTCATAGAGATCCAGAGTAACTCATATTTAATCAATGCTACATCAACACTTAATTTATTAAAAGAAGATTCTTAGAAGTAAAACCCCCAATTTTTAATACTTGGAAAAAAATGAAGACTGTCTAGATGATTTTCATTGGATTTATATCATAGTGTGTTTTGGGAAGAGTCTTATTAGCAACTAGAGATGGAAGAAGACAGAGAAGGACCTGGCAAAACTAACATGTTCTGGGGCGCCTGGGTGGCTCAATGGGTTATGCGTCTGCCTTTGATTCAGGTCATGACCTTCGGGTCCTGGGATCGAGCCCTGCATGGGGAGGCGGGGGTTCCTGCTCAGGTCCCCCATCCCTCTGCCCCTTCCCCTACTTGTACTCTTTCTCTCTCTTGTTCAAATAAAACACACACACACACACACACACACACACACAAAACCCACAAAAAACTAGCATGTTCTAGTTGAGTACCAAAAATTAGGAAGCACACCACTGGAAGGACTGACTAAATACAGAGTGCAACCAGAATGGGGTATGCAGTAACTACAGATATGGAGTGAATTTTGGGTACGGTTACCTCCTAATTACCTCAGCTAATGAAGGAGAGTGAGGCAGACAGAGCAAAAGGATGGGAAGACCAAAACTCATTCACAATACCTTTGTAAAACATTATATGCTTATTCTTGACCTAACTTTTCAATTATTTTCTCTTTTTTTTTTTTTAAGCTTTTTTTTTTTTTTTAAGATTTTATTTATTAATTTGACAGAGACAGATCACAAGTAGGCAGAGAGGCAGGCAGAGAGAGAGAGAGAGGGAAGCAGGCTCTCTGCTGAGCAGAGAGCCCGATGTGGGACTCGATCCCAGGACCCTGAGATCATGACCTGAGCCGAAGGCAGCGGCTTAACCCACTGAGCCACCCAGGTGCCCCAATTATTTTCTCTTAAACCAAGTATTTTACCTTTGGTTTGCATTTCTCGACCACCCATTGATGGGTGGTGAAATGTAAAACATGCTTAAGGGACAAAAGCAAGGAATTAAGAGAAATATCTCTGGCTAGTTGTATCAGAAATATGGAGAGAGCAGGAAAATCCTTTTAGCACTGCCCTTGTCCAAAGCTACTATACTTTGAATGCTGTACTGTTTTAAATATATTAAAATTATTTTTTACCCTACTTTTTTAAGTCTACTTTTGAGAAACAAAATTATCCATACACAATTACAGCCTAGGATTTTAACAATTTTAAAGCACACTTACCTTCACCAAATCCTTCACAACATCCATTTTGTTAAGCAGAAGACAAACTACAATAAACCTTGCGTAGTATCGTAGCTTCTTAACAACCAACTCAGGTCTATGGCAGAGAAAGAGGAAGTTAACTCATTAGACTCAAAAAAGAAAACACGCTCTTTGATTTTTCCAGCTCTCTGGCAGCTTTTAAACTCTTTTAGATATTATTTTGCACAGTTACAACTATTTCTGCACATAACCTATAGTCGCATTTAAACACGTTCCTTACTCATAGATTCCTTACTTTCATTCATATATTCATTCATTAAACAAATACCCACGGGAAACTTAAATGCCTTAGGCACTCTGCTAGAAGAATGATTAAAACAAACTACAGACATGGCCCCCTCTTCACAAATCTCAGAGACAGGAAGCTACCTACAACATAGTGTATACAGATAAACACAATGACAGAATAAATACAACAACAGGAAGACTAAAGGATGCTATCTGAGCCCACAGAGGAGGGTTCCTAGCGAGAGTGATGTTGTGGTAGAAGAAGACAACCGAAGGAAAATAGGAGGTGAAAAGAGTTCCAGGAAGAACATTTTTTGTTTTGAAATCTTATTTTCTGGTATTAATATAATCAAACCCAGTTTTCTTATGCTTACTGCTTGTATGCCATATCTTGTATCCTCGTCTTTCAAGTACCTGTGTCTTTTCACGTTAGCCGGTATTTTGTAGGCAATATTTAGTTAGCTTTTTTTATCCAGACAGTCTCTGCCTCACAGACTCAGGAAGTTGGACCGTTTACATTTTATCTGTTACTTTGGTTGGGTTTGCATCTCCCACTGGGCTGTCTGTTTTCTATTTGCCCATCCTGTATTTGTTTTCTAGTGCTCCTTTCTTGCTTTCTTTCCAGCTCATCAAATATATTTTACTGCTCTATTTTATGTCCTCTGTCAGTTTCCTACTTATACCTCTTTCCTTACTATTCTTTTAGTGGTTGCTACGAGTAAATGATCAAAGGCTATTTACCATCAATATTGTACCTCTTCACACTTGACCCTTTATACTCATCCCTTATCAACTCAAACTCGGTATTTCCGATTTCCACAGCCTCCGTTACAATTGTAATAATCTTACAACAGCATATTTTTTATATGCTGGACGTTTTCCATGAGAAAATTTGTAAAAATTCCTCTTTGACCCATGAATTATTTAGAAAGGTGTCTACTAATTGATATATTTATTGATTTTTTAAAAATTATGTTGTCATTCTTAATTTTTAATGGCACTGGACCATGGTTAGACATCCTACACTTGAAAATCATTGAAATGTGTTTTATGTCAGGTTTAAGTCAATTTCACAAGTTTCATTTAAGCTTGAAAATTATGTGCATTTGCGTATTGTTGGAGTTTTAAGCACATTAGAACAAGTTTTTAATTATGTTATTCAAACCTCAGTTTTTGGTTTTCTTTTTTTTAAAGATTTTATTTATTTATTTGACAGACAGAGATCACATTCAGGGGGAAGCAGGCTCCCCGCTGAGCAGAGAGCCTGATACAGGACACGATCCCAGGACCCTGAGATCACGACCCGAGCCGAAGGCAGAGGCTTAACCACTGAGCCACCCAGGTGCCCCAGTTTTTGGTTTTCTTGATAAATGATTAAATATGGTATATGAAAAATCTTCTTGTATATTGATTGGATCATTTATCAATTTCTTCCATAAAATATGCCACTTTTTGCTTACTATAATATTACATTATTGGGCATATCCAAGTTTAGAATTTTTTTTTTTGAGTTGTTCCTTGTACCAGTATGAAGTAAACCTCTATCTTTAATAATGCTCCCTGCCTTAAATATAGTGGCATTTCTTCCCTCTGCTATCTATTTTATCTTTTCCTGTACCTTGTATCTTTGGAGGATCTCTTATAAACACTTATATTATTGGATTTTCCTTTAAAAGGCATACTGATAATCTCTGACTTTTATTAGGAAGTTTAGATCACTTTCATTTACTATGAGTACCAATGTACTTGTACTTATTTCTACTTTAGTCTTTTGTGCTAATTATACTTTAGTGTGTATTCCTTTCCTAGATTTTATTATAAAGATCATACATCATAATTTTATTTTTTACTTTCTTCCCCTCTACCTGTTTTGAAGTTATACATTTTCTTTATGTTCTTTAAAATATTTTTGTTAATTATTTATTTTTTTAATTTTTTAAAAAAGATTATTTATTTGACAGAGAGAGAGAGATCACAAGTAGGCAGAGAGCTAGGCAGAGAGAGAGAGGGGGAAGCAAGCTCCCTGCTGAGCAGAGAGCCCCATGCGGGTCTCGATCCCAGGGCCCTGAGATCATGACCTGAGCTGAAGGCAGAGGCTTAACCCACTGAGCCTCCCAGGTGCCCCTATTTTTGTTAATATTTTAATAAGCAAACTTTACTGACTCTAAGCTTCTTCTGGATGATAAATGGATGTTATCGGTATGGTTTAGTTCTTTACTTTCTTCTTTCATGTTATTGTTGTCCAGAATTTGGCCCCATTTTATCTCAATAACCTCAATTAGCCATTAATATAATGACCACTGTCTTATGAAGCCTTTGATATTTTAGGAAACACAGGGATAACTTTTTTCTTACCAATCCTTGTAAATTACCTCTTCCTTCCAGTTTCAATTTTCCTCTTTCTGAAGAAATCCATAGTCGTTCTCTTACATCACCAGAACTAACCACCCTCCTACAAGGTTGTCCTGGCACTGGTCACAGGGTTAATGACCTGAGGATTCCCCTTACTTTCTTTACAGCTAAACTGTCCATTTAAAAGGAAGGCTGAGGGGCACCTGGGTGGCTCAGTGGGTTAAGCATCTGCCTTCAGTTCAGGTCATGATCCTAGGGCCCTGGGATCATGCCCCATGTGGGGCTCCCTGGTCAGTGGGAAGCTTGCTTTCCCCTCTTCTCCCTGCTCATGCTCTAGCTCACCATCTCTTTCTTTCTAATAAATAAATAAATAAATAAATGAAACCTTAAAAAAAAAAAAAAAGACAGTTGATCTGTTTATCCAGCATCTCTAGGTTATTTTGGATGCAGTTATTTTTTATTGTTTAGCCTACCACATTAACAAAGTGGAATTCAAACAGGAGGAAAATTTGTAGGAGGATGATGTTCATTCATAGCTGAAATATTAATAAGCAAATTCCTTTAATTTTTTGATAAAGATAAAACAGGTTCTGTGGATTTGTATCATATCACACAATTATGTAACACAGATTACACAAACACATATTGAACCAGGCATTGGCAAATTTTTGCAAATGGCCAGACAGTAAATGTTTTAGGCTTTGTAGGCACATACGGTGCTCATAGTGTATCTACCTTTTCTTTTTTTCACTGCACTTCAAAAATGTAAAAAGGATCCTAAGCTAGCAGACAGTTCCCAAACAGCCGTGCCATCCCTGTATTACATGAACACACAGCAGTAGATGGATGTGTTCTGTTGTGGAAACCACTGCGTCGAACTGAGCAGAGGGCAGGTAAATAAGTCAGGGCTATCCATTCATACACACGAGAGGCTACCCCAGTCAAGCCCCAAAAACCTCAATAGCCCACAGCCCCACTGTCTGAAAACACATCAAACTGCAGAAGGAAAATATCCTATGAACCACAGCAGGAAGGTCCACTTCAAGTCCTCCCGACACACACCACTACTAGAAGGTCCTCAAGATTAGATTCAAGGTTCCCATGATGGAAAAAGTCCATTATGTCACCCCAACAGCTGACATCATGATTCTCCTGACAAAGTTCTTCTGGTACTCCAGAGCTGTAGCTTTGTCCAGCCTGCCAGGCCCACTACTTCTAAGATACTGACCTCTATACATTTGCCCGAGAAACAGTCTTCCCATGTGGCAAACTGCCACATGGCCCCAACCTCTGCGTACTCAGAAACTTCTTCCTCTCCACATTGAACTCTGACCAGGTCAGCCTCAGCCATTTGCAAAGCCAGGGTCAGTGGCTCCCAGGGCAAATGATTATGCAGTAACATCTCCCCTACTAAACACGATGATGATGGAATGAGACATTTTCATGTGTTGCTCTTGGTGATCGCTGGAATGTACCATTCCTTCTGGCTCTAACACAGTCCTTAGGTACTGAGACAATGCAGAGAGAACTTGCCCCTTTGAGGAGAGATTTTTGCTTTTAAAGGAACTACGAAATTGTGCAATACTCTCTTAGTTTTAATCAACCAGCTGTTCACTTTATTTTATTTTTTATTTAAATTCAATTTAGTTAACATATACTGTATTATTAACTTCAGGAATAGAATTTAGTGATTCATGAGTTTCATGCAACACCAATGCTCCTTGTATCAAGTGCCTTCCTAATGCCCAGCAACCCTCAGTTTATTTCCTAGACTTAAGAGTCTCTTATGGTTTGCCTCCCTCTCAGTTTTCATCTTATTTTATTAATACAATGGAATATAACCCAGCCATCAAAAAAAGAATGAAATCTTGCCATTTGCAAAGACATGGATGGAACTAGAGGGTATTATGCTAAACCGGCTGTTCATTTTAGGATCTATTAGCAAACTACCTTGGCTGTCTTACCTACCAAAATCATCCTTCCTAAGGTACAGGGAACAAGGTCAAGATTTTGTATATGGATCGTCCTTTCATTCTAATTTAGTGGCCTCAGGCAAGAGATTTGTCATACTGGTTATAAATAATCCTACCTCAAATAAATAAATAAATAAATAAATAAATAAATAATCAATCCTACCTCTGTTCATCTGCCTTGCTCTAGGAGGCAGCACAGGAAAATCATTCATATGGGGTATTTGCTATTAGGATAGAAAAGGATTTTAATAAAGGAAACTGGTTTTAAGCCAAAGGGCCAATTTCCCTTTGAGCGAATTAGAAAATGCAGAAGAGTGAATTATACAAGGTATTTCATTATTGCTTAAAATGGTTCTTTCCTTGGGGCACCTGGGTGGCTCAGTTGGTTAAATGTCTGCCTTTGGCTCAGGTCCTGATCTCCAGGTCCTGGGATCCAGCCCTGCACAGGGTTCCTGCTCATCAGGGAGCCTGCTCCTCCTTCTCCCTCTGCCCCTCCCCCTGCTCCTGCTGTCTCTCTCTCAAATGAATAAATAAAATCTTTAAAAAAAAATGGTTCTTTCCTTATATGTATTTTCATACTGAAAGATATTCATTACATAGCCCCTTTGCATATTTTTAGAAATAAAATTTATCTCACCATGAATTCAAATTGTACAATATGAATACAAAAATTGGGGGGAGGGGTTCTGAGGAAATAGATCTGTAGTGAGAATAAGTGAGGTAAGCCATGAGAAAATCTGAAGGAGAGGCAGGTAACTGATGGAACTTTTGATGGAAGAACGAAGCACAGGGATGATTCTGGGGAAAACGGAGAATCCAGCAACTGCGTGCCTTCGTTGTATCAAGCAAACTCCTTTGCACAAGCCTGAACAAGACCTGCTGGGGAATGAAGGGGATTTACAGGAGTGGGGCTTTCCAAAAAATACTGCTGTTTAGCCAGAAAGCTTTATGATAGCCAACCATAAAGTGTTCTCTAGAAAAATATGTCAAAATTATGTTCTTGTCTACTGGTAAGAGAATATAATCTTTTCACTATATAACAACTGTGAGCTCTGCTGCCGGCAGTAGAGAGAACATTCAGATCTTCTATGCCTGAGCTTTCTCTTCCAACAATTCCTGGAATACTAATAACAGAAATTCTCCAGCTGAACCCTGATTCCTTCAGCAATTATGTCTTCCCCTGGAATTAATAATATCACAGTCTACCTGTACCCCAAATATGTCTGTAACTTCCATAAGGAGATAATCCTCTGAAAGGAAAAGAGAACACATGTAAACCTTCTTCTCTTCTTTTCTCTTCTCCCACCCAAGCATCTATACCACTGCCAAATACAAAACATGTGGCTCAACAGATTACCGTCGGGAATGAATAAATTCTGTGTGATTTTTTTTTTTCTTACAGTGGAGCTACACCACTGTAACATATCCAGTTTATATAAGACAATGTAAACAGTTTTAGTGGCCTTTTCTTTAGTCCCACCCACAGCTGTCAGCAGCCTTTTGAATGTATATGAATTCAAATTATACAGGATAACAAGAACAAAGGCTATCCACTAAGCCTCACTTTGGAATTGTTTCATTTCTTTTTGAAACTTTGTGAGTCTCCAATCTCTCATTAAGAAATAATCAACCCCTCCTTCATGCTCTGATTTCTCCCAGGTACTAGGACATCTGTTGTTACATCTATGAAATTTATTGCTTTTAGGTAACATAGGTCTGTATGCTTCAGAAGGCCTAATATATTGTAAGGTGCTCAATAAAGTCCATTTAAATTAATAAAAGTTATAAACAAATATGTGCTTCTTTGCATAATTTCCACACAGGCTAAAAATTCTGAGTGTTTTATCTCCTCTCTAAAAACATTGTAGGTGCATACCTGTCCTCTTTATTGACTTGAGAATAATATGATCTCTGTCTGATTGCAGAATAGAAGGAGAAAGCTTCATTCAGATAGCTGGTCTCAGATGTGCGTAGGCTATGAGGAAAAAAAAAATCCTTAAATTTGACAGTGTCTCAAAATCTTCATGATGAATACTTGTTTTATTCTTCCTCAATTCCTCTACACGAGGGGATGGGAAGGACTATCCTAAATTTGCAATCAACAAAGCAATAATCTTAATACCCTTACAATGGGTAAAAATAACGAAAAGGTAAAAAAAAAAACAAAACACAAAAACCTCCCCACTGCTCCCAAGCCTTTTTTGATGGCAATCCAAAGTACACATTATTCTCATTCTTTGAAAGGATTCTCCAAACAGCATTCCACCCAGTTACATCTTTCCACCAGACCTTTCATGGCCTTCCCCAAATCCATACAGAGTCACTTGTCCTTTGGCTCATTTCTTCAGTTTCTCATAGGACTCAAAAATGGACTAATCCGTATTACTCTTCAGAGGATGCTGATGAATCTGGTTCTCTGTTTAACATTTTTAGTTTTACAAGAGACTTCTTAAGAAAATATTCTACCTGAAAGAGTGATTTTAATGGGGGAATGTTGGATGGTGTGCCAAGAGACAGGAAGAGGAAGAAATTCCATATGGTCCAAGCTTTTTATGGTATACCCAATACTCAATGAGATTTAGATTCCGAAAAGGAATTATCTTCTTTCCTTGACTCATCATTAAGGATCTCATATCATCAGTGAGATTTATCTGCTTCATGTAACCTTTTAGATATGTCCTACAAATATGAGTTTTAAAGTATTCCCCCGAAAACCACTCATTCAAACACATAGTTATGATATGATCAAGATTTAAGTGAAGCCATTAAGAACTATAAATTCATTTCATATTTATGATTTATCTCAAACCAAGATCACGAGCATTTAAGTTATAAATGAGTCTGCCCAAATGAACTGTTAGGAAGGCAAGCCTTTGAAGCAAATAATGTTACTTGGATTATGGAAGATCATTTCATAATACTATTTTGATCACTACGATCTGGGGTTCATTTGTAATGCCTTAGTTTTCCCTCCTACCAAGTAAGTATATTATGCATACTTCTGCATGCTGTGTTTAAATCAGGACAATGCTTTATTTTTTCCATATGTAATTCACTTACTAATAATGGTAGTATAGCTGCCCAATCTTAGAAGCAATTTCCCCTATTTGCCACCGCTTCAAGCCATACCGATTATCCAAGACTTGTCTGTTTTACATAGGAGATAAGAAAATAGAAATAAGAGACTATAAATTCCAAAAATAACCAAATCTGTAAATTTAATAGGATAAAATACCACCCAATTCAGCATGAAATTCTGAATTCATGAATTCAAATTCATGAATTTTTCATGAGATTTCAACATCATTCAATTAAATTAAAAAAGCATGTATTAAATGTCTACCTAAAGTATGCTGAAATATGAAAAGAAATTTCTTTGAGCTATGCTCACGAAAATTAAAAGCAACAACCTCCCCCCAAAACAGCTTTGACCAAATAAACAACACCTATTTTAGAATGAAACCATGCATCAAGCCTACCTATGTTAATCTGAACCACTTCAGATTTAACACTCTCTTTAAAGATCAGATGATAACATTACATGTTAAAAACTTAATAGGAAAAAAATCTATTTATTTTCCTTTGTGTCATGAAGATGAACTATATTAAAATGCACCAAGAGATAAAGCGTACTGAGGTAGTAAAGGTCAAAACTGGAACTAACATAAACTGGCCCTTCACTCTCCTGTAACTGTAAAATTCCTTTACCGATGCTGCTGCTGGAACTTCCAGAGTTTGGTGTAAACATCGAAAGTTCTTCCAAAATAGGACTGCCACTGCTTCTGCCCATATTGTGGCAAATCTCTGTAATGACAAACAAACACGTATTACTTTTAAAACTCCTAGGCTATTTGGAAATTAAGACTCGTGATGGTATAAACTAGAGAGATTTAAAGCATCTGCATTCAGGCTTTCTTTTTCTTTTTTAAGATTTTATTTATTTGACAGAGAGAGACACAGTGAGAGAGGGAACACAAACAGTGGGAAAGGGAGAGGGAGAAGCAGGCTCCCCGCCGAGCAGGAAGCCTGATGTGGGGCTTGATCCCATGACCCGGGGATCATGACCTGAGCAGAAGGCATCTGCCTTCGACTGAGCCACCCAGGCGCCCCTCAGGCTTTCTTTTTTTAAAAAGTTGTAATTTTGGGGGCACCTGGGTGGCTCAGTGGGTTAAGCCTCTGCCTTTGGCTCAGGTTATGATCTCAGGGTCCTGAGATGGAGCCCCACATCGGGCTCTCTGCTCAGCGGGGAGCCTGCTTCCCACCCCCTCACTCTTCCTGCCTCTCTGCCTACTTGTGATCTCTCTGTCGAATAAATAAACAAAATCTTTTAAAATAAATAAATAAATAAAAATTTTAAAAAATTAAAAAAAAATAAAAAGTTGTAATTTTTGGAGCAGAAATGGTTCTGTAAGTGTCCAGGACTACTTCTTTCCTACGCTTCTCCCCACCTCTGTTCATTCTTAGTCTCTTTTGTAGACACTGTCCCGTGAGGTTTCTAGCATTCTCGTTCTTCTCCTGGGGTGATCTTATTCGTAGTCACTCACGCACTGATAGCTTCCAAATGTTATCTTCATATTAGAATCTCATTATCTTCACATAAGAACTCAGCACTCTGAAAAACACTGCTGCTTTAGGGAACGTATCTAGCAATGGATGTGCAAGTGGTATTATTGTTCTTCATTATTCTATCCTCTCTCTGTAGGTGAACTATACATCCCTGCCCTTGGGTCTGGTGACTCAAACCACACACCTTAGAGGCAAATTCTTCCCTGTCATATGAACACTGGGCCTGGCCTTAAGACTTGCTCTGGCCAATGAAATATAATTACAAGTTACCCACGCCATGTCTGAGAAGATGACATGAGAGATACTACGCAGTTCACCACTTTCACTTCCCTCCAATCTAAGACCAAGATAGGGCTGCTCCTTAGCCTGGAACACAGAGTCAGACCCATTTAATGGAGCCTTAGAACTGCAGACAACTTACAGCTAGCACGGGAGCTAGAAATAATCTCTATTGTAGTGAGGCACTAAAATGTTGGAGCTGTTACAGCAGCCTCATTGAGGAAAAGCCAGTACAGAAATGGATACCAGGAAAAGGCTATTGCCATAACAAATACATAACATATGTAACACTGGCATTGGAACTGAGCAACACAAAACTGTCACTGAAGGCTAGAAAAATGATGACACATACAATACAGAGGCAAAACAGCATCTGCCTGCAATGACTTGGAGAGCAGTTAAAGTGACTAGTGAACATATGGATTTATACAAAGAAGCTGGGAAAAGTATGCTACTAGCCCCGATGCTATTAGGGGCACTTCACAAACACGAAAAAGAGATGAACTCAGAAAAGAACTAGCTGCAACCTGGGCTGAAAAGGAAAAGTGATGACCCACCAGTTCCAGAACTTTCAGGATGGCAAGAACAGTTTCTCATGCGTAAGTGTAAAAGATACAATGGGGAAATGATGGCTACAAACACCACTAACAATGGAGTCTCATCCTCAGGGCAAAACCTTCCTTAGAACCTGTGAATAAATCTATGAATGTGGCCCCAAGTGTATTTTTTCACTGGAACAAGCTAGATCAGGGAGAAGGACCTGAGGATCCAATTGTCTTGCAGAAGCCTCATAAGCTCAAGGTATCTGTAAAAACCTCTAGAAGAGAAAAAGAGGCAAGTTTCAAAAAACTGTGGCTATGGCTGTTGTAATAATGTGAACCAATAATATTAGATCTTCATGCAAAACATTATAAAATTTCTTTAGTACCTCTTTCCATTTATGTTGAAAATAGGCACTAAAGAAATTTTATAATGTTTTGCATGAAGATCTAATATTATTGGTTCACATTATTACAATGTCTCATATTTTTATTACTTTTGTGAAAGGTATCTTTATTTTTTTAAGTTGTCTTTTTTTTCTTTTTTTTTTTTTGAAGAGCCCATTTATTTATTTGACAGACAGAGATCACAAGCAGGCAGAGAGGCAGGCAGAGAGAGTGGGGCAGGGGGAAGCAGGCTCCCTGCTGAGCAGAGAGCCCGATGCAGGGCTCGATCCCAGGACCCTGGGACCATGACCTGAGCTGAAGGCAGGGGCTTAACCCACTGAGCCACCCAGGTGCCCCTTTTTTAAGTTATGTCTTAAAAGTTTTCTTTATGCTGGAAGGTTTCAGACATATACAAAAGTAGAAAATAGCACAATGAATCCCAATGTACCTGAGCATTTCTATTTGGGGTTGCCAGACAAAATGGCTGTGTTTGGGGACTCTATTCTTTTTCATTAATCTACCTGTCTATGCTAATACAACTTCAGTTAAATCAATAACCCTCTGATCACCACTAGCACTATTTTCAACTAAGCAAAGAAGTAAAGGCCATATTTCAGAATGACCCTTATAACCCAAATGGCTACGAAAATACTTAAAATAGAGAAAACACTTAAATGTTTCATGGTAAAAAGAGACACTTCTTTTTTTTTAGAGAGAGAGAGAATGTGCACACTTTTGAGAAAAGGGGGTGAGCTTCGGGGGGAGAGGCAGAGAGAGAGAGAGAGAGAATCTTAAGAAGGCTTCACACCCAGCATGGAACCCAATGCAGGGCTCAATCCAACAACCCTGAGATCATGACCTGAGCTGAAATCAAAAGTTGGATGCTTAACCCACTGAGCCACCAAAGCACCCCCAAAAGAGAGACTTCTATTTTTTTTTTTAAGATTTATTTATTTGACAGAGAGAGTGAGAGAGAACAAGCAGGGGGAACCATAGAGGGAGAGGGAGAGGGAGAAGCAGACTCCCTGCTGGGCAGGGAGCCCCACACGGGGCTCGATCCCAATACCCTAGGATCATGACCTTAGCAGACACTTAACTATCTGAGCCACCCAGGCGCCCCCAAACAAGAGACTTTAAATTCTCTCATTTAACCTAAGTTTAACCTTCAAGTATAAAAGCAATCCTTTGTTTAATCTCACTAAGTAAGCTGAATATTCTTGGTAAACTATACTAATCTAATGAAATTTTAGGTAGTATTTTGTTGTTCAGTTGTTTGGGGATTGGAGGCGAGGGATATATATACACACACATACACAGTATTTGTGTATACAGGCACAGTACTTGTTTTGTAATGTAAACTTCTCTCGCTTACTATATTGTTAACATTTTCTCAAGTTTAATATAATCATATGTAGCACAGTGTATAGTACACATACATATTTGAGATTAGCAGAAAGAGACTCTCCCCGCACACACACAAGGCTGCTATATATTTTGTAATTTACTTAACAAAGGATACATAATTCCATGGAAATAAGAGGGCTACAGAGCAGACACAAATACAGCTTATGTTTCTATAGCTTTTCTCTTGCCCTAGTGGGGTATCTTGCTATTGGTGACACCTGCCTTGCAGTTAGGCAAGGTGTCTTTTGAAGATTTTATTTATTTATTTGAGAGAGAGAGAGAGCATGAGAGGAGAGAGGTCAGGGGGAGAAGCAGACTCCCTGCTGAGCGAGGTGCCTGATGTGGGACTTGATCCCAGGACTCCAGGATCATGACCTGAGCCAAAGGCAGTTGCTTAACCAACTGAGCCACCCAGGCGCCCTGGCAAGGTGTCTTTTGAAGTCATGGGATGGAAGTAGAAAACCTGGTTACTGCATATAATTCTATCAAGTGATAAGTATTACGAAGGCCAGAGAAAGTGATGTGTAACATGATCTCCACAATCAAGGAGCTTAAATTCAGTTAGATAGAAGAGACGAACACATATACAGAAAAAGAGGAAAAACACACCTAAGTATTAAATTATATAGGACTGAGTGTAGAAAAGAGATACACTGGAGGGCTTGAGTAGTCAGGGAAAGCTGCTTGAAGAAAGAGAGCTGGATAGGTAAAAGAGAAAGAAGTGACCATCAGAGAGAGAGAGAGAGAGAAGATAATATGCAAGAGAAACAAAGGCCATTATCAGCTAATAAAGCCGTAACACAAGTCTTAGGCAGACCTCGCTCACGCCATTGTGGACAGCGACTGGTGGAGGGCCTCCCTTAGACATCTGGCAGTTACCTGACTGGCAGCTAGGGTGCTGGGTCATGTGTTTCTCATCCAACAGGCTAGCTCAGCTGAGGATCCCAAAAGCAGCAAAAGAGAGGGCAGTTCTAATATGCATCATTCTTTTTGATTCTTTGCATCATGTCTGAGCTGTTCCAGTGGCCAGAGCAATCCCCTTGGCCGAGCACAGACTATGGAAGGGGATGGCTCGTGGGCATGGATACAGGGAAGGGAAGGATTTTTACAAGCAATCTATCATAGAAATATTGTATTTTTTCAATTCTGAAAATAATATAAGTCAATTAGAAAATAAAATGCTACACATTGTAAAAAATACCCTATTGCTTCGCCCCTCAATTCTAGCCCCCCAAAATAACCACCGTTAAGAATGTATTTTCTATGTACATTTAAGTAAATATATAATGTAAATATATAATGTTCTATAATATACCTTTTATTTTATTATTTGTATGTTTATTTTTACAGGTTCTTTAAATTTAAAAATATATCGGGGGTTTTTTTAATGCATACAATTATCTCAATATTTACTGCATATAATGTAGCACACAATAACCAATTTATTTAACCAATCCCTTCCCAACGGACATTTTTATTGCTTCCAGTTATTCCCTCTTACAAAAATGTTGCAATAAACATCAATAAACATTTTCATACTATTCTTGAATAGTTACACAATCTGAGTAAAAGGTAAATTTCTGTAAGTGGAGTTAATAAGTGAAAGAAGATAAGCATTCTCTACTGGAT